CTCATATCAACACTGAGTCTGCTGTATCCCATGGAATGCCTACCGTTCCAGGTATTCAAGGGAATGTTGCAAATTTAACAGGAAAGCATCACAGGAGTCTGGAAATATTTTATTAAGCAAGTTAAAACATCTTGACTAGCCTATTAACATGATGGAGAAATGGTCACATATTTAAATATGGAGTCCAAAATAATACCACTTACCTTTACTTTTACATTCACTTATTATTTCTTTTGTTACTTGGAAACTTCTACTGATGTAAGTGTCATAGGATTCTGAAACCACTAATTTGCTGACTGGAATGTGAGGTCTGTAATAGAAAATGAACAAAGGCAATAAAACATTTTGATCCTAAGACAAAGCAATTGATATTACTCTTAACTTTTATTTCAAGACCCTTCTAAAGTTCCCATAATTCTGTTTACCTGTTCCTAGAAGGGAAGGAGGTAGAGTATCCCCTCTTAGACATGGGGTTGAAATGTACACGATGCACAGAAATAAAGGCCCTGGGTGCACAGTGTCAGAGTGACCAGCTCAGAAATGAAGCAGTCAGTGCAGGCTTCACTTGTTATTGGTAAATCTACATTAATAAAAGACAAAGATGCTAATTGACCATACCTTCGCTACGCCCATCAGCCAATCAGAAGAGTATGCAAATTAACCCAACAAAGATGGCTGCGCCATCCGCCGCCCGCCCCACCGTGGGATCAGGCCTGCCGTGGGCGACCCGGGGTTCACGGGGCGGAGGGCAGCACCATCCACCGCCTGCCTCACCGCGGGTTCAGGCCTGCCATGGGCGACCTGGGGAGGTGGGGCAGGCACCGCGGGAAAGGGCCTGCCATCTGCCACCCAGGGAGCAGGCCTAAGCCAGCAGGTGGCTATCTCCCGAGGGGTCCCAGACTGTGAAAGGGCACAGGTCAGGCTGAGGGATGCCCCCCCCCCAACCCGTAGTGCACAGATTTTTGTGCACTGGGCCTCTAGTGATTAATAAGCAGCTTGGCCAGTTTTATTGACTATCAGTCCCAGGTCACACAGCCAAGAGGAAGCAAAGTGGAGGTTAGATCTCATTACCTATTCAGAGCACCAGATATTTCCTACGCCCCTTTTTAGTAGCCTTACAAACAATAACCAGCAAGGATAGGTTTTATTTCTTAAAATGTTGTTCCAGCTTTCTTGGGATATAACTGACATATAATATGGTGTAATGTTTGGTGTATGACATGGTGATGTAATACACATGTATTGCAAAATGATTAGCACCGTAGCCCTATCTAACATATCCATCATGTAACATAACTACCATTTCTGTTTTTGTAGACGGAATAATTAAGATGTACTCTCTTAGCAGATTTAAAGTACATAATAATTATTATTAACTATAAGCACATTACAGTTATATGCATTAGATCCCCGGAACATATTTATCTCGAAACTGGGAGTTTGTACCCTTTGACCAACATCTCCCGTTTCCCCCCAGGACTGGTAACCACCGCTCTAGCGTCTGTTTCTCTGAGTTTGGTTTCTGTAGATTCCACATAAGTGATGTGTTTAGATGTCTCTGAGATCCTGTTTTCCTTTCCTTTGGCTACAAACCAGAGGAGGATTGTTGGGCCATACCGTAGCCTATTTTTAATTTCTTCAGAAATCTCCATTCTGCTGTCCATAGGCCAACCCAGGTACCACCCTATAAAAGGTTCCCTTTCCTTCACATTCTTGCCAAGAGCAGGTAGCTTTTGCATTCTGATGATAAGTATTGGAATAGGTGTGAGGTGATAACTCATTGTGGCTTTGATTTTCATTTCATTGATGAGTGATGTTAAGCATCTTGTCATGTACTTGTGGGCCATTTGTATGTCTTCTTTGAAAAAATACCTGTTCAGTCCTCCCGTCATTTTTAGACCTAAATTTCATTTTTCAATGACAGTTTACATTTACAGTATTATTTTGTATGAATTTCAGGTGTACAGCGTAGTGGTTAGACAATCACATATTTTACAAAGTGGCCGCCCGATATTTCCTGGACCCTCCTGGCACCGTATGTAGCTATTACGTGTTGTTGACTATATTCCCTGTGCTGTCTTATACCCCCAGGGCTGCTCTGTAAATACCAATTTGTACTTCCTGATCCCTTCACCTCTCACCCAGGCCCCCATTCCATCTCCCCTCTGGCAACCATCATGGTCTCTGTGTCCATGAGTCTGTTTCAGTTTTGTTGGTTCATTTATTCTGTTCTTCAGATTTCACATGTAGGTGAAATTACGTGGTATTTGTCTTTTTCTGACTGGCTTACTTTACTTAACATAATACTCTCTGCGTCCATCCATGATGTCATAAATGGTAAGATTTCATGCTTTTTATTTTAAGGCCAAGTCATACTCTGTTGTAAGGAGTTGGGCCACAGGCAGGGTAAGCGGTCTGAGATCCTGTCCATCAGAGGCTCTCAACCTCTGGGTCGCCATCCCTTTGGGGGTTGAACGACCCTTTCACAGGGGTCGCCTAAGACCATCGGAAAACACATATATAATTACATATTGTTTTTGTGATTAATCACTATGCTTTAATTATGTTCAATTTGTAACAATGAAATTGGGGGTCACCACAACATGAGGAACTGTATTAAAGGGTCGCGGCATTAGGAAGGTTGAGAACCACTGCTGTACATCCAGGCTTTTTTCATACTCAGGACACGTCCTTCTCTCTGTCACAGCTGCTCTCCCTCACAGAGTTTCCTTCTTCACTCTAAGCCAGAGGATCTCAAATCCTCCTCCTCCTTCACTACTTTTGATCTCGCCGACCATCCCCCCGCCCCCCAGCCTATGGCTCCTCTGTCTCAGCAGCCTGAGAGCCCGCCCCCCTACCCAGCGGATCCCACCACCCGGTCTCACACCCGCTTCAGAGCAGTCTTTGGCTCTCTTCCTCCCCCCACACCGGCACTAGCCTTAAAGTGCCCCTTTCAGGAAATCGCCAGCACCAAATCTGGCTTCATGCCCACAGCCATGTGAATACCCTCCACCGGCAGGCCCCTGCCCTCCCAGGCAGAGCGGATGCTGTCCCTGACAGGGACCCACTGTAAATCTATCAGGAAGGGCAGGAAGGTGGCAGGTCTCAAGACCACATGGTTCTCTGCCAAGAAGGACTGAGAAAGCAGCCCACAAAGCAGTTAATTATTTAAAAAACTAGGGGCCCAGTGGTTAGGGTCCCTAGGCCTAGCCTGCGATCAGGGCCATTTTCCGCCCACTTGCCAGTCCGCCGGTTCCCCTCGCAGGCCCTCGTCCCGCCTGCCACTGCAAGCCAGCTACCCGGTTCCCCTCACAGGCCCTTGTCCGCCCGACTGCCACGGCCGCAAGCCAGCTGGCTCCCCTCGCCTGCCCCTCACATCATAGCGACTGGTTGAGCGGTCATTCCAGTCATTATGGTCTGGCCTTTTATTATATAGGATTAGCAGAGGTCACCCAGGAAAGACATGAAAATCCGCAGTCTTCCTCTCTCACCTTACACAGGCCATGGGAAAATACATCAATCTTGACCCTACACGCCCAGAGGGGACAAACCCCCCAACGAGACCTTTTAAACATGACCTTTAAGGTCTTTAATAATAGAGACAAGGAGACCTAAACCCAAAAACAAAGATGAGATCAGACCAAGGCTGAAGCCCAGACAAAGGCCTTCCAGCTCCTAGCCACCGCTCTCATGACCCCAAACGAAGTGCCGGTCCTCCAACTGCAGGTAAGTCAGGGGCTAAGCTTCCTCCGGGCCCATGCTTCAATGCAACAAGAGAGGACACGAGCCAAGTCCTGCCCAAACCCGAGACCCCCGCCTGGGCCCTGCCCAAGGTGCGGGAGGGAAGGCCACTGGAAATCAGACTGTAGTCTGGCCCCTCCAGGTTGGACCTCAGCAAGGCCTCCCTCTGGATCCGGTTTGGAGCTCCCAGACCTCCTGGGACTGGGCCCTGAAGACTGAAGCTGCCCACAGACAGGGCCCCACAGACTTACATCACCAGGGCAGAGCCTCGGGTAATGATTGTGGTGGCAGGTAAGCCAGTCTCCTTTTTAATCGACACTGGGGCCACTCATTCTGCCCTCCCCGAATTCCCTGGGACCCTTGTCCCCTCCTCAGTCTCTATTATGGGGGTTGACAAATTAGTCTCACAGTCAGTAGCCACCTCACCTCTACACTACATCTTACTAAATAACCCCTTATCCACTCTTCTTGCCCGACCTGAATGGTATAGACATCCCCTCATAAAGCCCAGCTGTCCCAAACGACAGCCACCTACTTCAGTTTCACTCACCCCACAAAGCCATGCCACTCCTTAAACGCCTTATCTCCTCCATCACTCTCCCCTCCTCTAAACAAGAAATACTCTCCTTTCTCGGGCTCGCTAGGTACTCTCGCCTCTGAGTTCCCAACTTCAGCTTTCTTACAAAGCTCCTCCATAACATGACACGGCGAAGGACTCCTCACTGAGCCTTTAGATCCCTAGGCCAGCATTCTCACCCCGTTAACTCTGAAAACTTCTCCAACCTCAGCACCTTCTCACACATACACCCTTTTTTCCAAAGAACAACTTTCTTTACTACAAAACTACAAATGCTTACTTAACAGTCCGGCTATTATCAGAAGCTGAACTCATTATCACCCAAACCTTAACATGTTATCTCTAAGGGAAAATGTGACAGTTTTAAATCCAAGCAGCGAGAGGCTTGGGAACAGACTGCCAGGCCTACTCCCGTCTCACCCTGCCTTTTCTCCAGCCTCATTGCCTATACATAATTTTCCAAAGTCTTTGGCAACTCTAAAACTTTGAAACATTGCTAGACATCTAAATATTCCAACAAGTTTTAAATTCACCTGATTTTAGCTTTTATTACAGAAAATCTACAAAGTAAATTTAGAGTTGTTAATATAGTCTCTAGTGCTTTGTTAAAGATACATTTCTTAAAAGTGAGAATGTTCATAAATGTCAACCTAAGAAATGCTGGCTGTTTACTTTTAATTATCATTGAAAAATAGAAGGCATGGGCATGCATTTTTAAAGAAAAAAAGAAAGTGAATTAAAATTATAAAGAAAAAAAGAAAGTGAATTAAAATTATAAAAATGGTTATGAAAATTATAAAAGGTTTGTAGGGAAGAATATTTAAAAATTATAGAAATAACACAAACCAGTAAGCCAGGACAAGCAGAATAGAAAAACTGAAATAATAAAACAGCAGTCCACAGCCATCTAGTAAATCCTATCTTCCCTAAACCAAGGACACTTAAAAATAAATAATTTAAGAATAAAACTCATTTTGGTACATACACTACAA